GTTCGAATCTCCACGACCTCAATGTTAAAAGTTGGTTTAAGCATTATGTATGATGAGCATGTGCAAAATTTAACCCCGTGAGGCGTGAGATGTATCGTTTGAAAGGACGTGTAATAAAGTAGTATAAGATCCACAATTAGTATTCTTTCAGCCCATAGTTTGGAATATTTATGTCTTTGTTGAAATTATGGAATATAAATGACAATTTCATGAAATTTTAGTATTTGTTGTGGTATTATCTCTATTTAAACTAGCTTATAACTCGGCCCGTTGGCCGATTAACATTATGCATGTCCATATTTGATTGTTTATATTCATTAGAAACACGGTCCATTAATGAAACAAATCATAGAATCCAACGCTGGACCATAAGTGCATTCGATTTGGTGGGATCCGATGAAGTTCGATTGAAATGTCCCATCAGAACATTTTTCTTTTGAACTTGTATGATTGGTAGGATGAAAGTCCAAGACATATTAGATTCAATTCGATATGGTCTTGGTCAAAGCTGTGTTGCGTCCAGTGTGGTTTGGGGTTGACCATCAAAACTTGAGAGCAAATGACAAAATTAGAGTTACATCCAATATACTAATAGACTCCATCAAAGTAATGAGGCACAAAATTAGACACTCCTTATCTACAGGTTCCAGTAGTTTGAATAGTGAATCGACCTTAACTTTAGTAAATCAATCAATGATTCCTTATTTTAAAATAAACATAGCTTGTGGTAGTTGCAACAACCATAACACCTAAAGATCCAATAGTTTCCACTCTTCGTTGTACAACCAACTTTTTATCCCTCCATCTTCAATCTCTCGACGTATATGTTTTAAACCAAAATTCAATTTCTAATCCTCCTTTTGCAACTCCGTTTATGCTACTTTGATGGACCTTCTCTCCATGAACCTGAATTTCTCTATCAATTGAGTTTCTTGTTAGATTGATCTCCAACTCCTCAATCCTCTTTCTTGTATTTGGCGAACTCATCTTCCTCGAGGCAGTTTTAATAAGCTCGTAAAACCAACACTCATCTTCAATTCCATCAATATGCTCTGCTCCTCCTTCTCTGCCTTCACCTGATCCAGTTCACTTCCATGTCCTTCAATACCCTCTCCATTTTCGTTAATATCCTGATGCTCTACCACTTCTCTCTCTTCAATTGCTTCGATTTTGCTTCTATGTCTTTCAATATCCTCCTTGTTTCAATCACTACCCTGACCAACTGCCTCTTCACTGCTTTCACTTGCTGCAAACTACTTCCATGACTTTTTATACACCTTCCTCAAAATCACAATCAACTAACCAATATCAATCTGTGGCCTTGGATTAGTTTTAAACTCTCTATGAACATCTCAATACCACAAAGTCTAAATCTAAATATTCTTTCAGTTAATCATGAACTTGAGTTTATCAAAATTTAATCCACTCCTTCTAAGTTGGAATTCCCATCCCCCAAGCTCATTTTTGGTTCGTTAGATCCCACATAACCATGATATTATACCTCTAACTAAAATAAATCAAAGCACTTTACGAAAAGAAACCGAACCATGAACTTTACATTCTACCCAGTGTTATTAAAGCCGAGCCGAGCCGCTCGGCCCGACCGGTAAAACCGCCACCCGGTCACAAAATTGGCTTGGAACAGTCTAAAAGTCGCTCCGGTTTTATGTAGCGGTTAAAGAGCGGCCGAGGCGGTTAACCACTAGAATCGATCGAGCCGCTCGTCCGGTTTTTGCCATTCAACCGTTAAATTTAATTAAAAAATTGTAGAAAATTGAAATAAACCAAAAATGTCGGGCTCTCAAACTGAATCCTTATTTCCATTTCACAATTTCGAAGAAAAGAGACGAGCTATTATTAAGAAATGTCCACTATTTATACTGATAACGTTTATTAGGTACCGGTTCTCTAACGGTTTTTAAACGTTCTAATGCCGGTTGGACCACTAAAGTGCGAGCCATTCGCATTACCGGGTCATGCTCCGGTTTGGTTCTGACAACATTGCTTCTACCAAATCCAAACACAATTTCTTCCTCTCACCACTTCCCTTCCCAAACCCAATATCAACTTTTACTCCAAGTGTGTTGCGTGCAAGCTTAATTTTAGCAATTATTATGCTTGCAATTAGATTAATGGACACCACCAAGTGCCAAAATTCCACCAGACGATTAGTTGTCTTCACTTTGAGTTTTGTCATTAAACTGCTGGCCCGATATGTTTATTAGTTTGGAGGCCATATGATGAGCAATATCGAATCAGTTGCAGCGAAGTTACCGGTCACAGTAATGACAATGTGAAACATGTATTAACAAACGCCAATATGAGTTACTTTTATGGATTGACATTAGAATGATGGGATTGGACAATGAGATCGTCCTTAGGTAAGCGACATGTAAATTGGTTCATTTGGTATGGAGGACACAAACCGTTAAAATTCTAAATTATTTGAGTGAGTTTGTATTTTGTGTTTTCAAAATCGTGGTATACGAGTTAGGTGATTAAAATATCTAAACCCAAACGAACCGACCCACACACACCCCTAGGAAGAGTTTCAAAACTTAGTATTTAACCGGACAAAAATGTTCAGAGAACCAGTCCCTTATAGTTTGCACAAAGATATGATTGCTTCACTGTAGTTCTGGAAATTAATGGTAATTTAAGAATTCTATATCGCTTCTACATATTCAATACTATAATTAGATATGAAATATTCAAACCAACAATATTTTGATTGCAAATTTATGGTTATCGTCTATTTATAAGATAGATAAAATTTTAAATTAAGTAGTATACTATAATTAAAATAAAAAATATCAAAATCAAAGTATCAAAACACCAAAAAGTAGTTACAGAATATTTATTGGGCTGGCTAACTGTTGAAAAGTTCTGTGATTTCATATTTTAGCTTCGTATATATTTTTAATTTAAAAAAATACAACAAATCTACACAGTCTGATTGATTTTAAACCTTCACTTTGTTTGAAGTGATTATGGTTCAAATCTCAATATGTCTATCTTTTTCTGTAAATAAATAAAAAATACACATAATTGTGAAGACAAAAATGTCCTTCCTAATTTCCCTCTCATTGCAGGAAATTTGAAAAGGGAGATTAAGTTTCAAATAATTAAATCATATACCCTAAATCTATAGAACTTAAACCCTAATATCACATATACTAAGAACATAATCAATGATCCTGATTCGCTAAGATGTATACAACATACCATATGCACTATATTAGGATTTAGAGTATTATGATAGGTTGAGTTACGTGAATAATCTATGGTCTAGATAATTTTATTTAACTAAGGAGAAGAAATAACCCTCAATCCATCGAGTGTACCATAGAATTTCCAATGTATATACACATACCATTGTTTGTTAAATTTAGCCAATGATAATTGACTCATTTGTCAATGGTATTCAGCCTTTCAATTCTCTGCTTATAATTGTCAATTATTAGGGAAATTGTTAGCTAACGATTTTTGGTCATCCACTTATAGCATTGAAAATGTCTCGTTACAAAACCATATATCACAAATGTGAAATTTTATGTTTTGAAATAAAATTTTGTATAGCACTTTTGTAAACAATAATTGTATTCCTATAAACTGCAAAGTCATGTAACCTAATAAATGTAAAAGTTGTAAGACATACATAAACTCAAAATGTACTATTTGATTCTTGGTGAAGAATTGTGTGATTAGAGGAACTCACTTTATAAATAATTACAGTTATTAATTCGATGATTGATTATTGCAGTGGATAGTAGTGTGATTAGAGGAACTCACTTTCAGCATTTTCTCTCTTTAATTCAAAAAATACATAAACATTGTTGTAGTTCAGTTGGTTAGGGATATTGACTATCAATCTGAAGGACTCGAGTTCAAGTCTTGGTAATGACATTTTTTTCTCTTAAGAAGATATTTAAGTTCTATGTTGAACTTACAAATTTACCCCTAGCTACGATTAAGGAGAGTGCAAGAAATTTGAAATGCTCAAAATCTCGTGAAGAACGGCTATATATTATAGAGGGACTCATAAAGTAAATTAACCGACATAATCTAAAAAAAATAAAATACAAACAACCCTTGTCAACCCGCGGGTTGACTCACGGGTCGACCCAATTTGACCCTGACCCGGTGAGAAAAACGGGCCGCACGCACCCGCCGGGCCGACCGCTATAAGGTACCGGGTTGGAGGTCAAATTGTGTCTTTTTTTTCTTTAGTTTGCGAAATGCGTCTATTTTCGAATTTTTCTTTTCGCCTAACTCAATCTTTGGAATACTAAGGTGAACATTTGAATATTTATGTTATATAAGTGTGTGTGAATTTTCACTATATGTTGGATCTAAGTACGATATGTTATTTTGGTGTAATATTATATGTTATAACTCATATGTTAAATAATATTTGATATAATATATGAGGATAAGTATAATATAATGACTCTTTCTATATTTCCGGGCCAAACCAGGCTAAAACGGTTGACCCATTAACTCTTGACCCACTAGCTCGACCGGGTCTGGGTCAACCCGCGGGTTGACAACCTTGCCTACAACTAAGTAATTAGTATAAAGTGTCACAAAATTTGGAGTTTGTCCAAAATAATAACACAATTTTCATTTTGCACCAAAATGATAACACAAAATGAGAATACAAGTTTGAATGTGTAACAAAATGATCGTTTTCATCCATCTCCATCCAAATATCCATCAAACTCGTTCAATCAGCAGTCCACGTCGTCCAAAACATATGTTACCTAATCGTGCAAAATGAAAATTTTGTAATAGTTATATACAATGTTCAAGGTTTTGAGACCAATTTATATGCTAATTAACCCACAAATTAGTGGGTTTCCTACTACTAGCTAGCAGTGAGTATTATTGGGCCTCACAAAATATGTTTGTCATGTGGACCAAAGTATGGGATAGTATTGTTGGGCCTCCCGGAGCCCAACTCCTTGCCTGTGGTGAATGGTTGGTCTCCTCTCTCCAAATTTCCCCCTTTTCCTCGCTCGCTGTCTTCGGCAGATCGGCTTGCTCCTACTACTCGGACTCTCGGAGACTGCGTGCGGTGCTTTGCTGCGGATTTCCCCAGTCGTCGTCGACCTTCGCACTTCCCTCGATTTACTACTTGCTGCTTTCCGGCGAAAGCCCTAGCTATCTTCAACAATGCAGTGTGCAAGTAAATTCCCCCGTCCCCTTCTCTCTTCCCTTAGTTATCAATGGTGGAGCTCTGTCTCGAACAATTTCAGCTTATCTATCTGTTTCTTCTTCTTCGTGTACCAGTCTCTGGCGACGTGCCGGTGGAGCCCGTTGTGAACGCCAAGTCTGGCCTTCTGTACGAGAAGCGCTTAATCGAGGGGTTCATTAATGTACGTCACGTTACGCCTTCCTCCTCCCTGTTTTGTGATTTTCTTGTGGTTTAACGAATCTAGGGTTTTTTTTCCTTCTTCTGTGCTTTCCTTCCCGGAAGGTGGCTTGAAATTTGTGTTTATTGTCTGTTCGGGGATAATATTTTGCCTAGGGGTTCTCCTTTTCAACTGGCTTTGTTACTTCTTTGGCTCCTGGGGGAAGTGAGCTGTCAAGAAACTGTGTGGTGCTAGTTAGGCAGTTAGCCCTATTATGCTACAGTAACATCTTTTAGAGGATGATGTCCATTGTGCTGGTCAAAATTTTCCTATGAATCATGTTTTGTTGAGAGCTCGGATAACCATTTCCTGTTTGAATGACATCCTGCAATCTTTTTTCAAGTGTTCTAACTGTTCTGACAGCCGGAATGAATGAGCCGGTATAACTATGGAATAGGCTTCAACTTGTCGTATTCTTGTAATGAGAGAGTTCGGCAATTAAACTTTTCATGGCAACCTCTTCGAGATCTACTTGTGGTTGTAATGATGGCTCTTGGTAATCCTGCTGAATTTGTTGAAATTTTCGATTCTGACATGGTAAATTGCCCATTTCTTACATTTTTTTTTCTTCAGGAAACTGGAAAATGCCCTGTAACTGGGGAACCTCTTACAGGAGATGATCTGATACCCATTAAAATGGGGAAGGTGCGTAAGGAAAATGTTACTATTTTGTGTACTGTGCAAGTTCTCAGAATGCAGTACCATTTTCTATATTGAATGCTGCCTTTTTCTCCCCCTGTAGATTGTGAAGCCCAGAACCGTTCAGACAGCTAGCATTCCTGGAATGCTTGGCATGTTTCAGAATGTATGTATTAAGTCTGTCATTCCTTGCTATGCTGCTATCTGTTATATCACACAAGTTTTCTTATTATTCAGAGGGTGTTAACGGCACCTGGATTCTAATGTTGTCTCATTGTTGGTTATAAATTCTTGTTGGAGGAGATTTAGGTTCTGGCTTATGTACTTTAATTTTTTTAGCTCTACCACTCTTACGCTATAGCAAGGTAATTCTAATTGCAGGAATGGGATGGGCTCATGTTATCCAATTTTGCTTTGGAACAACAACTACATACTGCACGACAGGAGCTCAGTCATGCACTCTACCAGGTTTGTTTTCGTGATCTGTTATACTTGTTAAGAAGTTGCAAAGGTGTAATGACATGTAGCTTGATACGTTAACTTATGTCTTGATAATTGTTGTTTTTTTCATCATTTTTCTTAGTAGAAAATATTGAAGAACATTGTGATGTTTAGATTAAGCATTTTTCAGATGCAATTGCTTTTTGTGAACAAAGTTGCTTGAACTTTTTGGTTCTATCAGTGCCATTTATCTCATAATGCCATTTGCTTGGGTTAGACTCATTATTTGTGGCAAGGTATTACTCATCTGTTGCATGGTGCTCTGATCAAATTATGTCAAAATTTGCTTATGTGGAATATTGTTTTCCCAGCATGATGCAGCCTGCCGTGTAATTGCAAGACTTAAAAAGGAAAGGGATGAAGCAAGAGCATTCCTTGCACAGTCAGATAGACAGATTCCTATGTCGGCCACATCAACTGCTGCAGCTAATACTTCTGCTGTTGCTAATGGAAAAAGAGGTTTTTCCTGTTTTGATGCTTGCTTTTGTTGGCTGATGTTATTTTAGTTATTCTTGTTAATTATGTTCTCTTGATACTTATGTAGCAGCGGATGATGATGATTTGGCCCCTCCTGGAAAGAAGCTTCGTCAAGGAATTTCAACTGACATAATTACTGAGCTAACAGAATGTAATGCTGCCCTTTCACAGCAACGTAAAAGGCGACAGGTAATGTTCATGGATTTAGACAATGGGCATTTCTAGTCTCTCACTAAATTATTCCCAAGGCCTTAATTCCAGTTCATTAATTGTTTACCAGATTCCTCCAACCTTGGCATCTGTTGAAGAGTTGGGGAGATACACCCAACTTTCCAGTCATCCACTTCACAAGACAAACAAGCCAGGAGTCACATCTATTGACATCCTTCATTCCAAGGTATACTCTCACTCAGCATAATAACCCAAACGGACAATCTATCTGCCACATTCCTTCACATGTCCTGCCCTTAGGGGTGTCAGTTCGGGTCGGGTTCGGTTACCCGAACCGAAACACGAAACACCCCGAAACCGAAATCACTGAAACCGAATCCGAACTCGATAAGGACTTGCGGGTTCCAGTTACCCGAAACCCGAAAATTTCTTATCGGATTCGGGTTCGGTTAAAGCAAAACCGAAAACCGAAAACCCGAACGCCTAAGAATACGGACTGAGTTCTATTCATTGGAGGTTTTTAGCCGGAACCCGAAAAACCGATAAGCAAAGCCGAACCCGAAACCGAAAAACCCGAAACCCGAAACAAACCCGAACAACCGAAAATGTATATAATCGGGTCGGTTTCGGGTAAACCCGAAAACCGAACCCGAATGGACACCCCTACCTGCTCTTAACTACTTAACTGGTTCACATAGTTACACATGCTTGAGTCATTGCGGGATGCATTATCCAAGTTTCCTTTTCATATCTTAGTTTAATTTTCTGCGATCCAGTGATCCTAGTTTGACAGAATGCACTTTTGTTTTGCCATGGTTATCACCTAAAAAGATGATGCATGGAGCTAAAAGTTAAATTACTTAATTGAGTTCTTATGTTATCTACCAAAGCTATCTATTTTATCTTACCTCCCTTTTTGAAAGCTCTGCATTAATTCATTATTGTGTTTGCCATTCCTTCTCTTTAGGACATTATTGCCACTGGAGGAGTTGATTCCACAGCCGTACTCTTTGATCGCTCATCAGGACAAATCCGATCAACACTTAGTGGTCACACAAAGAAGGTTTTTCCTTTACTTTCTTCTTCTCTTGATGCTGCTACATGTTATTCAAGTAAAACTTTATGCTCATGGCATAAATTTTATCTCAGGTTACTAGTGTGAAATTTGTAGCTGATGGTGGAACGTTCTTGACAGGATCAGCCGATAAGGTATGAATAGTTTCACTATCTTGAATTTTGGAACCTCATTTTTTCCCCTTTGCCTCCCATGAACAGATCTTGATGGGTTGTTTGACCTAGCAAAATTATTTTTATAATCAACATTCTTGCCCATTCGAATACACAAGCTTTTGTCATGTACACCCTTATATTTTGTGTCCTGTACATGATCTTTATAAAATATTGCAGACTGTTCGTATATGGCAAGAATCTGAAGATGGGAACTATGATTGCCGACACATTTTACGGGATCATACTGCTGAGGTAGGTGACTTTCCTTGGAGTGTGTATGTCGCTGCGATAGTTTGCGCTGGCAAACCTATCTAATATAAAGGATGTTCTTATTTGAAGAGTATAACACCTGATGTGTATATGATGCGCGGCATTATGGTGTTGGCTGTTGCTAGCTTAGTGAAAGTTGCAGCACTGCTGAAATTCTTATGTTCATGGGCAGGTTCAAGCTGTCACTGTCCATGCCACAAATAACTACTTTGTGACGGCCTCTCTTGATAATACATGGTGCTTCTATGATCTTTCTTCGGGTTCATGCCTAGCTCAGGTGATTGTTTTGGAACAATCCTTGTATTTTGTCGCTCATTTACCATTATGAATATGTTCTGGATTTCTGATGCATGTTTCTTCCAAATGCAAGAATAAGTAACACCAACATTTAATGACACTCACTTATCGTTTTGGGCTGATTGTTCAATTTCAAAATTTTGTCTTTGGAAATGGTTGGCGTTACAGGATTTCTGATGCATGTTTCTTCCAAATGCAAGAATAAGTAACACCAACATGTAATGACACTCACTTATCGTTTTGGGCTGATTGTTCAATTTCAAAATTTTGTCTTTGGAAATGGTTGGTGTTACAGGATTGACACTATTACAATTGGTCCTGTTGGTTCTAAAGTTTAGTTGTGAATTACTAATTTCATGTTATGAACTGTTATTCATCATTTCACATGGCTAAATTTTTTGAAATTCCCATTTGTTATGTAAGCTTCGCTGCATTAACAGTTTAGTAGGATTTTGGTTTTAATTCTGCAGGTTGCTGCGGACACAGACAGTTCCAACCCTGAAGGGTACACGGCTGCTGCCTTCCATCCTGATGGTCTCATTCTTGGAACTGGCACGTCTGGAGCTATTGTCAAAATTTGGGATGTTAAAAGTCAGGTACTAATGAGTAATGACTCAATGCTGTTGAGCATACTGAAAAAATTGGCACCTAAACAATTGCATCAACTTATTTCTTTCTGTTTTTGTTTGAAGGCCAATGTTGCCAAATTTGACGGGCATGTTGGGCCAGTAACTGCCATATCTTTCTCTGAAAATGGTTACTTCCTTGCTGTAAGTATTTCTGCTCAATTAAATTGTAGAACATACTGAATCCAGATATTACGGTAGTTTTATGCCAATGATCTTGGGCTATCTACATGAATTGGACAGACTGCTGCACATGATAGCGTTAAGCTTTGGGATTTGCGCAAATTGAAGAACTTCCGGAGTCTGAATCTTTATGATGCAGATACGCCAACTAACTCTGGTATGCTTCTTCCTTTAAATGCTTCCTCGTTAAGATGGACTATCGTCACTTTTTGTTTTGTTTTATTGCGTGATCTCAACTTCTGATGATGTAAACATTTATTGCATTGATCGGAACTAATCTTGTGGTTGCAGTGGTATTCGACCACAGTGGCTCTTACTTAGGAGTTGCTGGCTCAGACATAAGGTAGGATGGCATGTTGTTTCTTTTCCAGAATTAGATGTTGATGAATAATTGCTGGGTAAAAAAGGGTGTCAACAATTAATAGTTGCCAGAACAAACGATCTGTTGATCTCTTCACGATTCTTTGCTGAATCTTTCTGCTTACTGTTGTTGCTTTTGGGATGATGCAGAGTTTTCCAAGTAGCTAGTGTAAAAGCAGATTGGAACTGCGTCAAAACTCTTCCCGATTTATCCGGAACAGGTTACTTGTATCTGCTGCATTGTCTCTAATGCTGTCCTGCTTTTAAAGACGTGTGTATTGATTGATTTTGGATTCTGAATTTAACTTGCAGGGAGAGCAACATGTGTTAGATTTGGTCCAGATGCGAAATACCTTGCTGTAGGATCGATGGATCGAAACCTCAGAATATTTGGGATGCCCGATGAAGATGCTGAAGCACCACAGCCAGAGTCATAGGAATCAACTGGTCGGAGAGTGAAGCCACCTAGTCTTTTTGGCATTCGAGAACATTATTTCATTTTTGCTTCCACTGGGATCGGAGGAATTTTCCAGCAAGGGAGCAGTAGATCAAATGGTAGATTCTAAAGTGTTTCCATGGTGTGGGTTCCTTAGCCTCCAACAGAGGTTGTCGATGAACCTTCCTAGGGAGTTGTATTTAGAACATCTGAGTTGGTAGATTCACTGAAACACTGGTTGGTACAGCTAATGAGAGTTCGATTTGTAAGGTAGCTTCGAATTTGCGGATGATGATATTCTGTTCTATTCGATTTGGTTGCAAGAGAAAAATTCTCCACCTTTCACCATTGTAGCTAATTCGGCTTGATGTTCACCTATTATTTGGGCAACAATATGGGATCTGTCTTCTAAGTTCTAACTATTGGTTGGTTAAATTAGCTGCTGCTTCTGAGCATCGCTCCCTCCTTCGTCCCAACTCCGCGCGGGATAAGGATTGTACATCTATGCAACTGCTATACTCTACTACTTGAATTCAAATTTCCAAAACTGGAGTTGGAATTCCAACCAGTGCTTAATATGACCATATGTCCCTACCAACTGAATCCAAAACTAGAACCAGAGCTAATTATGAATGAAGATCCTCCTTCCCCTACTCTTAAGATTAACTATTCGTCTTCCCTGGTAGCTTCCTAACAATGAATGATTTCGACAAGGAATTACACAGCATCGTCAACCCTAAAAGAATAAAGAATTACAGGATCACATCACACTCTTCAACAACCTGAAGCATTCAATCGATTCACTTGCTGTGTCACGCCCCTTCAGTATTTTGATGAGTATTTAAATCCCCAAAGCTGCAACAATGAACAAGCAAACCATCCTTTTAGTTTAGAATAAAAACATGTAAGACGGTAGATGCTCCGGCTTTTCACAAATTGCACTACCTAATATTAGACAACTGGACATCATTTGTTTCTCATATAGTGAATGGTGTAGCAGAACCAACACGAAGGCCAATATCAGCACACCAGCAAGAACAGCGTGAATGCTTCTTGCGGCATGTGTGGAAAAGGTCGATCATTGTTAGCATAGCAGGAGAAATTTATGAAATTCAAATTACCTCGACATGCTTCAACTCGAATTCTGGATCATGGGCTAAGCATAAGTTCCCATATGTTTCACAGGGACCACTAGTTCCATATAACCTGTTTTCACAGAGAAAGGAGGAAAAGAAAAAAAAGAAAAAAGAGGCGATGCAAGAGATCAGTAAGTAACTGCATAGCAGATGACTGTTACTATGGGGGGAAAACGAAAGGCAACTTACAGGTCTCCATCCAAGCGTAAAGCAAAGTTGCCACCACCACCAAGTGCTAGTAAGTCATCCAAACACAGGTAATAATAGCGGTTGGCGCCTGTTCACAAGTTTCACTACCTAATATTAGACAACTGGAAATCAATTGTTTATCATATAGTGGAATTGGAAGCATTATTGCACCCATTCACAACATGTTGAATGAACCACCATTGAGTGATCAACCATCAGTGCTCATTACTTGAAACCACAAGATTGTTAATTCCATAATTTGTTTTAGAACACTGTATGATACGAACCAGCAAAAGATGTTAAATAATGGAATGACACTTAACGTGCGTAAATGGGAGTAAACAACAAAAGTCCAAAACCTGACTGAACAACACCAACACAAAGGTGCATTCATACACAAACAGCAGTTGTCAAACCATTCAAATCCTGAAGCTGGAATAACAAATTCCTACCAGTTGGTCTGAATAGCCTTGGTTCACCATATATGGTAGTGAATACAAATGATTGGTGTGTCCCCTACAAATACAAACATTTTATAAAGTCCATTTCAGTAATTCAGTTCATACCAAGGTAAGGTACAGAAAAATACATAATGTAAAAAACTAATAATACAGAGACTCAAAAAGTAAAGGAAAAAGTTTTACTTGATATTTTCTCTTAGAAGTGGCTTGTAATGGACAGTCCAGAAGTCCACCAAAAACAGCACCTTTTCTATCTCCAGTAATCTAAGAATGAATTCTGAGAACCGTAAATGCACTGAAACAATGAAGGTGGAAGTGGGGAAATATCGAAAACTGCACCTACCAGTAAACATGGGCCAGAAATGTCAGCACTCTTTCGAATGAGCGTGCGAAGAGATGTGCCATGCTTCATCGTACTGCCCTTACAAGGGAAAGAACGAATCAAATAGCAAACAGAAGACCATTAGCAAAAACATTATAAGTTTCAGCTCAAATGGATATCACTAGTTGGTTGGTTAATCAAAAGCAACTTACCTATACATCAAGACCCAGTCATTCCCTTTCACCATGTTAGGGAGGGACGACATCAGGAACTCATACAAGTCTGATGATATAAACGCCGACCCATCTTTCAGATGTGGTGTCCTCGGAGTACTCTGCTGCTCAGATGCTTCTTCATAAACATCACTGTCACTGCTGCTTGTCCGACAAGAATAATCCTCGTTTTCATCAAGAGTTATGGTTGTTTGACGTTCACCAGCTTTCTGGCATTCGTGATATCTCGGTTCCTCTTCATGGTCAAACTCTCTACCTCTCCATCTTACTGGAAGTGAAGGAGCCGGTGCCAACTCAATTTTCTGGTCCTTGCCATTTTCCGACGTAGACTTTCGAAAGCTCAAGGAAGTGAATGAAAAATATGAAGAAAATGACTTTTCCCCTTGACTAGCTGTCCTGCCCTACAAATTCAAATGACTCAGTCGCCTATCCCTCTTCGCCGATTTGAGTGAAACCAGAAACACAAATATAAACACAAGAGAAGAAAGCAGTATTGGCTTGACAAGTCCAGCATGAAACCCCCATATTTCTCAGTAGCAAACTAAACATTGACAGGCGTAATTCTCTCTTCTGAAACCCCCCCATCACTACAAGTCGTACACATACACGCCCAACACCATTACTTTACACGAGAAACACAGAGATGCCATTAACCAACATGAAGTCTAGTTCATCGGAAACGTTCCCATCAATTCCTAAAACCATTGTACCCTCAGCAAAATGAAGTTACTTACTGAATGCCTGCGAGATCGATTGTCTTAAGAAGAAAGAAACATCACATATATGACATAATGGAGAGAACATAATATTCTACAGCGACATCAGCATTGTCTGAAAACTGACAGATCTAGCTAAGGGTTCCCCGAAACAGAAAGGCAAGAGCCGAAACAAAAGAAAGGGGGCTAAGAACAGAATTTACCTGAGAATTATGAGAAGGGCGTGAGGCGACGGAATCAGAAGGAGAGGAATTGGGCGAATCGGCAAATAAGCGAGACAGCTGATTGGAGACCTTCTCCTTCAATCCGATCATCTTCTTTCGTTCTCCAACGAACCAACCGAGGTTAGCAGGTAAAGATCATCATCACGCTTCTCCACAAGTTGGGAAAGAAGAATAAAAAAGGCTCTTCGCTGAAAGCCAAACAGCAACGTAAAGTCTGCAACTTTCCGCGTCGGATGCGATATTTGAGCTGCCTGGCCTTGTGGGTCTCAATCGGAAGGAATCTGGGTTCGTCGGTGGAGACAGGAATGTTGACGTGAGAGGCAAAATGGGAATTAGAAATCAAAGACAACACAGCAGCAATTCAGCCAAACGTTTATAAGAAAACCATAAGATGCTACTTTCGATTTATAATTTCTCGTTGCTGTTCTTGTTCTATTAGATTTTGGTTAATAATAATAATATTATTCAATTGAATTGTGAACGGAAGACGTTTTACCTATTGGTCGGTGGCGTAGCGTTTTGTTACACGATCGGTCCACGACGAGACTCCTCCCCATCTGTACGCCTCTTCTTCTTCATTGTTTACTTTTTCTTCCACGTAAGAGAATAATTAAATTGTATATTATATTACTTATGTATTTTATTTTCTTACAATTAAGGACCTTATATTTCATTCGATAAAGCAGAGACCAAAGTGTCATTACATAAGCGGATCAATAAGATTATAAATTAAACTCATTATGCAGGTAATGAACACAAGTGCACAACTAGTCTGACAAGCCACCCAATCCGCAAGCGGGTTGGATCCCCAAACTTAAGAATCTCCTTAAGCTTTGGCTGGCCAATAGGGAGAAGAGAGAGAGAGACGGAAGATAACTAACTAAAAGGGCAAATGAGGTAGTTTGCTTAATTATTTAATGTTATTAATATTAATATTTATTGATGGAAAAATGGAAAATTCTCAATTCCTTAAAACCCGGCCACTTCCCATTTTGCAACAGCCTCGTCTCTCTTGGGGAGAATAAATTATCAAATTAATGTTTAACATTTTAAAAATGGAAATTCGAAATTGCAAATGCCCACGCTCTCTTTGACGACTTGTAATGATATTATTAAAGTTTTACAATAGTATTACTAACGTTTATCAAATAAAATTTTATTGATGTACCCAATCATTATTAACAATTTCAATATACTAGTTGATGCTTTACGAATACATTATTAACGATTTCAGTTCAATTGGTAACAATTTACATTTTTGTCATCTACACTTATGAGTGAATTATGAAAGTTATGTCACATTGTCATTAACAATTTGAATTAAATTACCATTGATTGCAACATCTTTACTAACGATTCACATTTTGACACCATGAAGTAAATTGGTAATAACTAGTCGTGTTTTATTGAAAATGCAAACAAAATCATTAATAATGATGGTATTGTATGGGTATCAATCATACTATTTGTTGTTAATAACTCCTAAAACATAACTCTTAGTCTTATACCCTAGCATTTGAACGTCAAACATCATTATTAACAGTTTGAATAACATTATCACTGATTACAACATTTTTATTGACGAATGCACATTTTTATGTTATGTTCATAACTAGCCAATCAATGCATCCATCAACGACTTGCAATTACATTATTAATATTTTGCAATGACAATGTGAACGTTTATAAAATGAATTATTAATTGATGTATCTCATCATTATTAACAATGTCAATGTAATCATCATTGCTTTAGGATTACATTATTAACTATTTAAGATCACCTATTATTGATTTATATTTTCGTCATTAACGCTTATACAAAAATTATTAAAGCTATACTACATCATTATTCATTATTTGAATAACATTATCACTAGTTTACAACATCTTCATAGGTTGATCCTCTCTGAATTCTGCAGCACTGTCAACAATATTGTCTTCGGCATTCCTGTGAACCGCACCTTTGAAATTCACATTAACATATAAAATAATTAAAAATTACTAATTATGTAGTAAAATGTTAACAATCAATTAAATTCGATTACTAATGACACAAGCCGCATGTTAATAATGTACAACACGACCTGTTAATAAAAGTCGCTCCTGTGTTACTAATTAAATACAAATGATTAACAACGAATCGATCCACATCCTATTAATGACATGACAAATAATTTTGACAAACGAAGGCCATCGGTTACATGTATGTTAATAATTTGATCGTAATTGTTAACAACACGGAACATAAACGTTCAAATCACAACAAATGTGTTAATAATGCTACTCTAAGTGATAAATTAATAAAGAGAAACACACACGTTAACCATGTACCCATTTTTGTTAATACCAACTTCACAAACCGTTGAATAATCAAAAACAATTTGTTGATAATTACAGTGACCAAAAAATTTGACCGACAACGAAACTTGTGGACATAAACATTTTTAAAGCATGAATGACGTTGATAATGCAAGTCTTTCATGTTAATAACATGATCAATAACTCTTAACAACACGCAACCTACTGTTATAGAAAACCATCTAATCTCTTAAAATGGCGGATTTTTGAAAACTGCAAAACAAACAAATCATTTATATTAAACCAAACCTACGGAGAGAATACGAACGACCGAGAAGAATACGAACGACTGTGAGTTTCTGCTCAGAGGAAAGAAACCGAACGACCGAGAAGGACAACGATAGCTCGCCGGAGGAAAGAATACGAACAGCCGAGAAGGAAACGACTGGAGGTCGACCGTAGCCGGATCCGGGAGAAGCCTTGGTAGTACAAAAAAGCTTCGCCGCACAAACAAGAAACTGTGTCGCCGGCAACAGAAAATCCTAGAGAGAAAAACCTAATGCATCAACGTGAGAAATGGGTTACAATTAATAAATAATAACACAACAATTAATTAAATTAAAACACTAATACCATCAGTGCCCTTAACTGTCTAAAACGGCTAACTATTCACTAACTAACTTAAGATTGATCTATTGGCTGAAATTAACTTAAGGAGTTTCTTAAGTTTTGGCTGACCAATTAGAAGAGGAGAGAGAACGGAGGAAGGTAACTAACTAGAAGAACAAATAAGGTAGTTCGTTTAATTATTTAATGTTATTAACAATAATATTTATTTCTAAAAAAATAGAAAACATTATCAATTCCCTAAAAATCCGCCCCTCCCCATTCTGCAACATTCGCCTCTCTCTTCGTGGTGAAAAAACCTAAATCTATACAGACTCTATAATATTGTTGAAAAGTGACGTGTTTTGATTAAAAATGGATAAATTTCTTTTAATGATTGTGCAACCTTATTAACAAACCTAGACCACGTTATTAGCATTTATTTAACCTAATGATTTATGATTTCTACAGCATTATCAACAATATCAACATGGTCTTCGACATTCTCGTCATCCCCATCTTTGAATTTCTCATTAACATTGAAAATAATGAAAACATTACTAACTATGTGGTGAAATGTTAACAATCCATTGAATTCGATTACTAATGACGTAGGAGCATGCTAATAATGAACAGTCTGTTAATAAAGGTAGTTGTGTTAATACTTAAAATACAAACGATCAACAATATTCGGCCCACATCCTACTAACGAAAGACACCATTATCAATTTATGTTATAATTTGATCATAATGGTTAACAACACGACACATAGATGTTTACAACAAATGTGTTCGTAATGTTACAACTTGTTAGCAATGCTACTTAAAGTGACAAATTAATAAGAGAAACACACACATGGTTACCATGCACCCATTTTTGTTAATAAATAATGAATAACACAGTCTGTTAATAAAAATGGTTGCTGTGTTAATAATTAAAATATAAATGGTTAATAATATTCGACCTACATCCTACTAACGACATCTATATATGTTAATAATTTGATCAAAATGATTAACAACACGGAACATAAACATTACAAATCACAACAAAAAGTGTTAAAAATATGAGCAATAACTTGATCCGCAACCAATACAGTTTTTAATAAAATTGGTTGGATTATTAATAACTTGATCCATAACGAATAAAATTTCACATTTTTAATCATTGACAGATTTTAATCAATAAATTGCACACCATTATCAGTTAATAACTTACATAATTTGCATTAACAATGATTCATCAAACCTTTAATAACACGTACTCTTTTATAATAAAAAGTTCATAATGTAATGAAAAACATTAATAATCAAATATAAGAATTTCTACACACACGTTAATGACCTAAACAATTTACATTAACAATGATGAATCAAACTTTCAATAACACGTCAATAAACGTTAATAATCAAACACAAAGCATTACTAATTATATAAAAAGACGCTACACCGAATAATAAAACGGACCACGCAAAAAATCTAAGACGAGATCCGCCGAAACCTATAATTAAGCCGGCCACTTCAAAAAACCGGCAACGCAAAAGTATCAACAATCCTAGTCAAATTTTTTCATGAAAGAACCAAACGTCGACTATAACCCCTAGCCTTCCAAGCTAACGATGCGGGTTCGATTCCCACTACTTGGATCTGGAACCTACATGCTGATGCTCACGATTTCGATAGCCATACCAGTGATTTAGAGGAGATTTCTCGAAAAGTATTTAGTGCAAGAGGCTTCAAGGAAACTTGTGTTTTCTGAATTATATGAAGCCAGTAAACAAACAGCAAATCCGTGAGTATTTGAACCTCTTTGGCTTAGAAAATTTCTTCAAAATTTTAATAAAAACTTCAAAAAAAGAAAAAAATGGAATAAAAAAAACGGACATAGTCAACTTTGCTGCAGTAACTTCAAACCGTCGTGAAACTCTGCTAGTAGGAAATAATACGAACGGCCGAGAAAGAATACCAACGGCCGAGAAGGAAAGCCTCATCGTCGCCGAAAATACAAACGCCGGAGGTCGATCGGAGTCGGAGCCACGGCCGCGAGATGTCTGAGAAGGAATTCCTCGTTGCTACACAAACGAGGGAATAGGGTCATCAAAAAAACCTATCGCATCCAACGTAAGAAACGGGTTACCATTACTAATAATACAACCATTAATTAAATTAAAATTTTAATACCATCATTACCCTTAACTACTTAAAAACGGGTAACCAACCACTAACTAATTAAGATTGATCTAATGGCTGAAATTAACTTAAGGAGGTTCTTAAGTATTGGGGCTTAAGGATGTGAACCCATGTCATCCGCAAGTTTATTCAGCCGTCGAGGGATGAACTCCACACGAATCCAAGGAGATGACTGCAAGATGGAAGACATCCTAGCCAGGGAGGCTCGATAGAGCCAAAACCAAGAGGAAGGATCTTGTTGCAGGGCAAGTGACAACACGTGACAATCAACCTGCGCGAATGCAGGTTGGTATCGGGTCTTGCGCAGCAAACAAGATGGCATTAAGAAGACCAAAAACTTCTGCTTGAATCGAATGAGAACACAAGAAATTAACAAGATGATTAAGTTTGAATATAAGCTTCCTAATTTAAAATGTAAAATTATTAAATTGTTTGTTATCAATCAAATCAAATTTCATCG